TATTGCTAAAGGACTGGTGCTCTTTTCAATATATGTTCTAGCGTATAAAGTCATCTTCCTTGGTTACTGCTAGTTCCTTTGCCCAGGGTAGAGCTTAAAAGACCCTTATGCTTATGGTTGAAACCTATCAACAGTAGTCTAGTCTGTTGACGACGTTATATGCCCCCTCCCACGACAATGAAGTCGCTCACATGTTTATGGAATCAGAGCATTGGGTTATCCAAATTCATTTGCCGATGTACGACCAGATCATCACAAGCTAAGGTTTTACGCTCGTGTGGACGACTTCCACATCCGCATCCTAAGCTAGCACGTTCATTGAGCGAAAAACACGTCTCCTGCTGATATTCGGCATTTTATTGACATGTACTGTCGCATTTGAAGGTGTCTTAAGCGCTACATCTGAGTGATCAGACTGGCTGCCAGCTTTACTTTACGGGGGAAGTACCTCATTAGTAGCGCGCAAAATGTTTAACTTGGTAACTAATCATTTTCTGGATAACCAGTATCACTTAGTACAGGTGATATGTGCTGTGTTATTTCTTTGATCCCGACTTAAAGCTGTCACCTTATCGTGGTGGTCGGGCTTCTGTGCTGCAATGATCCTGGAGTCTATACTGGCTGGAGTTCAGTTCCAGGAAGGCCAACAGGGAGCAGCCCGACAAAGGACAGCGATTATCCGTACTGCGAACAATCATGTTACGAGGCGGTCTGGGCTAAAGTCATACTGTCCTCTACGATAGGAGTGTTAGGCAGCAGTGCGTTTGCATGCCCGTATTTGTGGAATCAACGATGCGGCCTTCCTCCGAGGAAGGACGGGTTAGAAACCGTCGGCCCTAAAATCTACACACTCCGATTGTCCAACGGCTGACCGTGACGGCCGGCACATTATTCAATACGGTCGAAATAATTTTAAAACCAAAGAGTCTGGTGCTGCTCAAAAGGCACCTGTTATGCTCAACCGGTAATTGGTGCTCCCTGTGCCCTTGGGCCGGACCGGCCCTCTTCCAGCCACGTATGTAGACTATTGAGTCATTGGATCTGAGACGGTTCCTCGAGGAAAACCGTGACAAAACGCTGCCCCGAAGATCAGACTTTTGAGTCAGAAGCTAGCAATAGGGTCCCCGAACGAAACTTTACATCCTTCTGCTGTTTTAAGGGTCAGACTTCTGAGTCAGAAGCTCAAGTTGAGACACCTCTTCGACTTGGTCAACCGGGAAACATCATTCGTTTTTGCATCTCGTCGCTCACCAGCTCCCTCCACATCCTCTCCATCCTTCGAATGATGCAGTGAGATCAAACTATCTGCCAGTCTCCTAGCCAGTGTTCCGTATCCAAACCCTCGGCCGGGAAAATAGGCCAAAATAATTACTTACTGACCTCGGCCCTAATGTCCGTACCCTATGTCGAACTGGGTAACGGACACTTTCTAAAAGCTTGCTTCCCTTATCTATCGATGTACGTTGTGTCTCCGAAACACGCATGCAAAACGCCACTTCGGTCGTGCGCCTCAAGCCGCTTAGGACGAGCTCAGATGTTTCACATTTCACTCTTCAGCTATCTGGTGATCCTGACGCAGTGGCTTGTGGTGTCTAACGTTGGAGAGTTGCACTCAGTTCCAAGGTTGGAGACCCCTTACTGGACTGGCTGTGCGATTTTCTTGTTCAATTACGATCAATGCGACAAACGGTGTTTATTTACCGTAGGACTGAGGACGGGTTTCATCGAGACTCATCGCGACTGCTTCGGTTAGCAAGAAAGACGAATATAGTAATGCTGCCGCCTGATATGAATGCCCAATTTGAACGACTAAGCCCAGAAGAATTACAATCCGGTGGTTTGGAGTCGATTCTCAGCGCCTTATAATGAGGAGTGACTGCTTTAGTTGCGCTTGATCATCGTCTGTTTCTGTCGAGTACATACTTCCAACACCAACACTCACATTGAGTTACACAGAGGTCACCAACTGCAAGACATTCATGGACTCATTTGGACCATGTGGCTATCAGTTACCGATAGAGAACCTCAATTAAAGATTGCCGTTCTTTTTGGGTGTGTAACTTGACACTAATCATGCCATTTTTTGAGCCGGGTCATCACTTCGCTTTCTGGCTCTGCTCTGCGCGTGCCAAAGCAGAGCAATCCCATTCATCAACTTCGACAAGCTTCATTAGCTCAAGAGTATCTAGCTGATCTAGCTGGAAAGCTACTAGGAACGCACCGCCGTGCGAAGGACGAAAATTGCTTGGAAGTCGAATGGAAAGGTGTTAAATAAGCTAGATTCTCAGCTTTCAGAACAATTCTTCAAGCGTCCCGACTATCATAATTGAGCACTGCGTGTCGTCGAGTTCAGCATATCTTATTGCTGCCAGAGAGATCATACCAGCAACCAGGGACTGTGATGTCTCCCACAGAACCCTCAGACATTTGAGTGACAGAACGCTGGATGATTCCGGAGGCTCAGGGGATGGGGAAGTCTTTCGCTGTAGGCAACAGCTGATGCGGTCAGGCAGCGAAAAGAAAGCTAATGTCAGCGGAACGATGTGCCTAAAAGATGCACTTCACTCTCTCAATCGTCGTCTTAAGCGATGGACTGAGCACTTGAAGAACACTTTAGCTGAACCTTTTCAACACAACCTCTAGAAGAACCCAGCGGGCCCGAATGAAATATCTACACCAGCCGGCCATCAGCGACCGAAGCGCGACAAGGCACCTGTCGCGGCTGGTCTGTACCACGCACTTTTCGAAGTTGGCGAGGTCCTGGTGAACTGTCTGACAACCATACTGCAGATTTGGAACGAAACAGAATACCATCCGAACGGAACGTCTTGACCATCATCCCAGTTTTTAAAAAGGGGACAAGAGCGTTATGCGAAAACCATCATGTATTCACTCTAGCATCCGTCGCACCTTATGTGCTGTCTAGCTGTAATTTGCGCAGTTTGATCAATTATCTGGAAAGACAGATTCGTGAAAATCAAGCTGGCTTTCGCCCTGGACGAGGATGCATCCACCATATTTTTTTTATCTTGAGACGAATTTGTGAGTAGCAACACTCAAACGTCACACGTTGTTCGTTTTACTTGATCTGAAAGCTGCTTTCCACTCCGTCAATCGTCAGAAACTTTGATGGTGTCCGGCTATCAAGGATCTTCATTCCAAATTCATATCCTTTATACGGGCACTTTTTGCGAACTCTCGTGGGCGTGCATGAGTATACGGCAAGCTTTCGCGTGCATTCACCACGTTCAGTGGTGTATCGCAAGGCTGTCCTCTCTCACCTTTCCTCTTCAGCTTTGTTATTGATATGCTACTTGAGATCTCTCTGCCTTTTTCTTTAACCTCGGGGGTCGAAAATCTCCCTGAACGTCGGCTCAAAGATATTGAGTATGCGGACGATATTTCTCTCCTTGGTTCAGATCCTTTAAAAATGCTAACCGTTTTAAACTAAACCAAACAATTTTGTCGCACGTTTTGGCATGCGCTTCACACCTACAAAGTGTAGAGTTCTGTTACAAGATTGGGTGGGTTCAAACTCAAACCTCATCCTTGCAGACGAGTCAGTCAACGTGGTAGATAAATATTTTTTACCTAGGCAGCTGTGTAAGTTCCGGTGCACCGACTGAAGATGAGATTATTTCTCGAATCAGAAAAACCAGGGCAGCTTTTTCTAACCTTCGATACCTATGTTGCTGACGTGACGTCAGTTTTTCTGTCAAGGGCGGAGTTCACACTGCGGCAGTGCAATTCATACTGCTTTATGGTCCAGAATCATGGCCTCTACGTGCAAAGGACATGCGAATGTTGTTACTGTTTGACCATCGAAATCCCAAAACTTGAATTTAGCCTCTTGGTCGTTTTCGTCCTGAGTAGGTGGCGATCACATACTTACGTACATGGGTCACCTTTGAAAAATGGAGCATAGAGCTGTCGCACTCCGCGTAACATGGCCACACATTATGGAAAAGTACGAGTACCATGCAGCTAATGGGGGCTAATAGCAGGCGTGTAACTTGATCAAACGTTGTTATGCAAAGTTATACTATGTTCATGAAAACGAAATCTGTAACATGACTATTTTTCAGTTCCAGTTTCGATGGCTCTGAAAACTAGACAAGAATATTCTTGGGCGAAATTCTTTCCTTTCGGGGAAGGTGATAGTGTAGATAACATAGATGTATCCACAGCCCAACTAACCTCAGCTCATGATCGAAGCCGTGGAGAAGATATGAAGTCTAGTGGATAATATTAAGCCAGTCTCATTACTAAACACACACAAACGGGGCAAAGACATGCCACTGACGGCATCGTGGAACCATTCTATTACTGCCTTTGTGTAGTCATGTAGCGGGGAATTTGTTCTATTTATTCGATGTTAAATCCATTCACGGGCTTGATATGCGGGAATCTAATAAAATGTCACCGTCGCTTATTACCATTTTATGAAAACCGAGCTGCCGTCTTCGTCAGGAAAAGCGGTCCACAGCTGATGTGCTTCACACTGTAGCACTTATCCTACTTGATGTTTATCTGACTGATATCCATCTAGTCGACAACCCTTACCATATATTTTCAGTTACAATGCCGGTGGCCTCACACCTCTCATGGTCGCTTGCATGCACTCTCGATCGGCCGACGTGTTTCGTCTGCTTATATCATGGGGCGCAGATCTAACACTGAGAGACGCAAGTGGAAATACTTCTGCACATTACGCAGTGCGTTATGGAAATACTTCAGCAATCGGCGCATTGAACAAAGCACATGTTGACTGGAATGCGGTCAACGGGGACGGGAAAGCAACATACGATGTGAGTCCTGATGCTTTTCTCTGTACTTTTGAATTCTGCCTGATCTGGACAATATCTGCATACTTTGCTGACGTTTTCCAGCGACCGTCTTTGATGTTGGCCAATTGAGACAGCGTTCTTGAGATCCTGAGCGGAGAACCCCTCGTTCTACCTTGTCCTTAGAATGACCCAGTTGCCTAAAACCCCTATCTCTCGGATCCCCCTGCATATCCAGTGTTCATGTATCAACTCCAGAGAGAAGAACATGACTAATGACGGTTTGGTGAACCCGGATTTTATCTCAGTCGAATGTCAGTTTTATGTTACAGTACATACTTCATTGACTCACTGCGAAGTTCAATTTGGGCTACTGCCGATTTGTTACCCCGGGAATCTGTGCTTGTAAAGGACTTTCCTTATGGTGGATAGAAAAAAGGCCCACCGTACGCTCCAGTTGATAAATTTCACCCAGAGTAGCATGCACCTTATCGTGCAGCCGTACTGCATTCATTTTAACTTGAAGTTCCATCATTGCATGATACCAAACCATCGAGGGTTGAAACATAATTTCGCTGTCAACATTTTCAAGCATGCACCCCATATTGTTTGATCACCCGAGCAACGGTCCGAGAGGGACTCGTGTATATACTCACCCTGACTAGCTCCATTGAGGAACTGAGTCGATTGGACGAAATGCAGAACTCCATAGCACTGCGTAGCCAAGTGCACTAAAACTCTGTCGAAAGTTTCAGTCCAACAGTCGGTTTGCGACAGTAACCACCGTGCCGACAATGAAGAGGAAAAAGTGATAGAATCCATTATCAGGGGAATTTGTACGCGTGTGTTCCGTAACGTTGAAGATATCGTAACTGACGGTAAATTGGCAGTCACACAAGCTTCAATAAATGGGGTTAGTCATGGGGGACCATTGGGAGCTAAATACATGGAAAAGACACTGTCAGGACTGGCAAATATCTAAATGGGGCACATCGGTTCAGTTCGACAAGGGAGCTAGCTATGGTTTCTGCATATTGAGTTAAAACACATGATCGGAACAACTGTATTCTAACTCACCTTCGGAATTTACTGCTTTCCTTGGGTAACTTCTGCCCACATTGGAGTGATGATGGCAGTAGAATGGTACGATTTACTCTTGGAAACACTCCAAACTGGCCAGCATGTGGCCAGGTATTTGGTCGACCTGATCACCGGTACCCACCACCCATGCCCATCGGAATTCGGAAAGCTGTCATCTAAAAAATGGAATTCCGAAGTTCTGAGACTGGGTCACCAAAACTTGAAAAATACGGTCCGTATCTACTCATATTCTGTTTGAAAGTGCGCGAGCCTTGCTGCCTACAGTCACTATGTTGGGTGTGTCTGGAGGGTTCCACCCCCTCGAACCAATTAACTTGATTCCTCGCTGCTCTCAGGTTCGGTTTCATAGCTCTGAAAGCCCACATTTCGGTTTTCTGCCTCCAGTAGTTCATACACTACCGAGATAAGCCGATGGCTAAGGCGTGAACTTACTGACCGGAAGCGCCGTAGTTCGAATCCAACCCTGATGTCTCGACTGCTCCCGTCCAGGCTTGGCACTATACCATCTCTCGTGCGGAGAAGCACGAGGGATGGTGGCGTCAGCTAGACACTGAGTATATGTTACAGTTGGATGATTATTTATTGTTTTTATTATACTGCCGAAACATCTTTTGCTCGGTGTATCGGATTTCGACAACATAGACGCCAAAATTGATCACGCGACCAATACGCTACAGCATTGAATTTCTTCGTTTGTCGCTCCCGTTAAGTTAACTTATTTCACGGTTAATTATGCAGCGTAGATGTCAAGTTCATTAGCATTCCCACAAGAATTCGAAAATAGGGCGATCATCTTAGTGGATTAAGTGAATGCCGCATACAATCCGTTGGGGGAGGGGGCTTGATTGTTTTCGTACACATCTAGTTCATCTGTACGCTGTCCTTAGGGACGCCTAGCACAGTTTTCATATTCGGCAGTGTAGGTGGCTTCATTTCGCTCTGCACTCTACCCGCTTACTGTTTGGCAAGGATGTCAGCAAAGAGAGTTCGGCAGCGTACAGTAGTCCAGTGTGCGATGGACTCGCTTTGGTATGTCCAGTGGACCGTAATTTAAGGTGCGCGTATTGTATGGCCACAACAGGCCGTCTGTGAAATAGACTTGTCAGTCGCAGATTCAGACGTAGATTTAAATACTTATACAATCTAGAACCAACCGCCGTGTGTATGTATGCGGATTCTTCTGGCATGACTGTGAGGCGTAGTCTTTGCGAACGGTGCAACTGAGGCGTCTTCTGGTCTTCAATAGCAAACGTCTCAGAACCGTAGCTCGTGTGAGCTTACGCCAACCAATCTGTAACTAAACAGAGACTTCAGTCTACGAATTTGTACTGCACTAAAAATTGCGGTGGTGTGGTCATATGTTTCGCAGGCCAAATCATCGTTTGCCGTGCTGTTTTCCACTCCCAATTCAGAGGGGTGCAAGCAGAAATGTGGTCAACCGTTGACCTGGCAAGTGGATATAAAAGAGATTATGAAAAATCTTGGTCCTGTCGATGCCACTCGCATTCAAGATGGAGTCTGCCTGATACTCCCTGTATATCGCCTGTGATGTGACCGCTAATCGATGTCTGGCGCTTTTGTTGTGAATTCTTATTCACCCTGTCTGAGTTAGTGTCTCGAGGTGTAAGCGTCTCTTTCCCATCTACTTTTATTCTTTTATTCACTTTCAAATAGATTATAGTTTTCCGGCAGCGAAGTATCGCTGATGAACACTGATTTGCTGTCCCTGATGTTAATGTAAATAAATAAAATCTTGCGTAATCCTGTCAACTAAACAAGTAACACAACACGCAGTTTGTTCAGTTTGCCTCTGTTGCCTCTAGTTTATGGATAGTCCAATCGTAACTTTACCACTGTCTCACGAGTTGTTTTTTGCGTCGCCTGTCGCATATTCTAGGACTGTTCTCACACTCTCTCAGGTTACCGATGACCCAGATCTTGCGAGACGAGTGCGTGCCCAAGCTTTGGCCCAAACGCTTTCGAAAAACTATTGTAACTTCTACCGTCTCTCTGATTTACGACACTCACCGCAATGGCGATGTTGGATAACTGCAGGCATCCCTCCAGTGTTTCTCCTCTCGTACATCTCCGTTTTCAGCTGGGATTTATCTGGCACGGTCGAATTCTTCGCTCCACTTCAACACCCCCTTCCTTTTTGGCTAATCTGCTTGATCAAGTTGGCTATCGTGCTCGTGATTGGGTTTGGTTGTCGTATCGTTTTATCTCGGTTCTCTGATCACCGTTCTGAGGTTTGTTTTTGATACATGTAACCTTTTGTGACTGAGTACACTCAGTTTCCTTCATCATTGCGCCACGATGCAACTTTGGTTTGCGGTTGATAGTATGCGACAGCCCCTTGGAAATTCCTGGATATTAAATATTTCAAGTAATAGTCTAGAAGACCAGTTGCCTCTCTCAACATGTGGCATTCGACCCACTCGACTCGAACCATTCTTGCAGTTTCTGAAGTATTCCTATTGAACATGCACAACACTACATATGAGAGACTAATAGCAACTCTTCAGTAGCACTCTTCTTGGGGCTCATCAGATAAGGTAGCCTCCGAGATTCTTCCAATCTTGCTTACTACTTTGATCTCGAGGATTGGTAAGCCTAAAGATGAATCATACTGGCATTGTTTTTTTCTACATAGCTGAGGCATCATTCGACTCCAAAAATTTACCACTACTACTATCACTACTCAAAATTGAGCTTAGTCTGAGCTCAGCAACTCGACTCGAACATCAAGAATGATCTTACCGCCAGTTATCCCTATTGGTTCTAATGAGCGTTGTCTTTTCTGCTCATGGGTGGAGAATCATCAGCGGCAGCCGTACATTGGTTAAAATGCGTGTTACCTAGTAATCAAACAGTGAAAGAACCTCAGAGGAGAATAGATGGAACGGGAATGGACGAGCCCAATGTGAAAAGCCTTATTTAATTGTGGAAACTGACCAAAAATAAGGTGTATGCATCTTCGGACAGGATTTGAATAAGCACCTTGAGAGTTGCATCGGAATATCCATCGTCGATGGGACCCTCCCAACATCCTTCGTGAACTTTATCTGTCAAAAATCTGGCGGCTGACAAACGACTTGTCACTCCGCTCAGGCAGTGGCCGCATTTTCCCACTGAAGTGTCCCGTAGGGATTCCAACCACCTCAAGGAGAATCCCTTACATCCCATCCGGGACGGTGTAAGGAATCCACAGCAGTTATTTTTTTGATTAACCGATTTCATCTCACTCTCCCATGTCTGGGTTACCGGAGGCTTTAGTACATGGTGGTCAGTCGTGTGTCGTTCTTCTCCCAGCCACCTTAACGTGACAGACTTCACTCGCCACTCTATCACCTCTTTTCCGTCAATAAGTGCACCATGTCTTCGCGGACGTGCCGCAGACAGCTACACGTCTGACGACAGGAGATGGTCTTCCAAGTCAAGGTAAATTTTAGTTTCACCCCCTTTCTGTCGTTGTATGGCTAATTCTTAGCGGTGTAAATGTGAGGGCGCTTAATCAATTATTAAAGCTGTTTGTCTGATGACATTTTAAAGGTCATTTTCGGTGGAATTTGCCACTAGTCGATATCAACTTGATACTAGTAAAAGAGAGAAGGCCTTCGCCGCGGAGTTATTAGAAAATGCCAACTGACCGGTTACAGACTATTAGACAGAGAAGTAAAACTCTCATTTGCATCTTATTTACAAAATCTGGACATCCATCTTCTCCTGAACGCGTCTTCTTGAACTTTCCTGGATATTCATTGACGCCAACCATTCATTGCTCAAATCCGAGCAAATGTTACAAAGTGACTCCACAATTTCCGCAACAGATCTCTCCTTTTCAAGAGACGCAAAGCGAAATTCCACGAACAACACATACTACTCGCATGCCTCCCCATCAGTAGTGTCACCGTTACACTAGTACGTAGCCTCTCTTAGGGTAAAGTCGCCCAATAAACGGAAGTTCGAGTGTGGGTGCTTCTGATAACTAGATCGAAACAACTGCAGATGACATTAACAGATGGAGGCTTTTTTATGTTAAGTTTCAGCGCGGTCGTTGGATGTTGGTGGATGGAAATTCACGTACTGCCATCACTTTTACTTCAGTTGATTATGGCCTCGTGGTAGAGATGCATTGACTTTCTGTGCCGACTGATCGAAGCGACCCATTCATTTGCCTTCTGCATATGTAGTTTGACGCCAGCCGTCTTGGTATTGCCTGCCATTGGTGTAAGTAGATGAGTTGACATTTCAGCGCTGTTGTCCGACATTATCGAGGAAAAAAACAATAAGGCTTTTGCTCCTCAAAAAGGGGCTGAGTAAGCATAGGACCATCGTCCTTATATTCAGTGTCTGTGAATAAACTCCCGAGGTATTTGAACTCCTGAGGTATTGGGAGCAGGTGAACATGTTTCGAGAAGCACTGTGCAACAAGGTTAAAGGTGAAAAGTGAGTTAGGCCTTACTTGTTTGACACAGGTGAACATGGTGAGTGCAGGTGACAGCCTGTCCTTAGACTCATGTGTCCACAAACTGGACGTACAGTTTTACTATACTAGTCTTTAAAAATAGTTACCTCGGATTGGCAGTCGGAGTCAACTCACCTCCCGGATAAAATAGTGCCAGTGTTGAAATTCCTGCCTGAAACGTGACAGTCGGCTTCGTTGGTACTACAGTCCATTTTTATTTTGATATGGGCATACATTAGTGATTTTGCCGGGGGAAATGCTGTCTGAAAAGATAGCGATATGTGTTATTGTGCTCAGTGTGGATAAGCGCTTCCAAAGACGTTCGTTGCCTCTTCCCTGTCAGTATGTTATTCCCTTCTCGAGGGCTAGGTCGCTTTTAGTTGAGAATCGTCATGTCTAGGACACCTGCACGCGAGCCATCTCTTCGTATGATAAGAAGCCTGGCGACATTTCTGTTGATTGGCAAGTTTGTTTTGCATTCTTATTATAACGAGCGAGTTCGCACCCTTGTTTTTAGTCGGTTCGATTATTGTGTGTGTGTGTGTGTGTGATTCTCCAAAATGTACACCGAAATTGATCGCTTAGTCGTTCTCGAACTGTCATGTTTAAGACGGCTGTCTGTGTGTGTTTGGGACCCTATTTGGCCAGTGTAAAGCACACTACAACCGTTCCAGATTAGCTTGCCCAAAAGACTAGAATATATCCCAGTATATTAGACAAGTCTTGTTGTTGCGCGCAGGTTTAAACTGTATGACCTCGTAATGCGCGACCGTCCTTTCTGAAAACAACATAAGCCCTTTTGGATCTTGAGTATCGTGTGAGCCCAGGTCAGTCCCCCATTGTTGTCTTTAGACATGGTCACGTCGCTCGTTCGGCAAGTACGCTTGCATTACAGGTCGCTCCTCAAATTTTCGGTCTTCCCTTTCCACGTTCACTTCACTCATTCAAACAAATAAGAAGTTGAAGGATTTGAAGAATTTCATGGGATTTCTTCCCGAGCAAACGATTAACAGTGGAATCTAATATACTGTAGAACACCATTACCCAGTCATCTTGTTTTGTACTAGGTTCCCTTATTTTCTATACTTTCGTTAGCACCAAGATTATCTGTGGTCAACTACAGGGAAGACAAACTACAAAGCGGCGCAAATCGTAAACGAACCGGCGAACTTGAGTGAGAGATACAAGCAGAAAAGGAGTCACCCAGTTAAAGAAAGAGAAATTGTTCAGCTGTAGCACACTTTCGGTGCCTAACTGCCATGCCACCCGAAGGATGCAAGAGGGCTGGGATACTGCCAAGTCGCCCAAGCCTGGACTTGGGAAGTCGAAAGGCAGAGGTTGGGTTCGGACCTTCTGGTCAGTAAATTCACGCTCTAATCACTTGAGCCATCTCGCCCCACTTAAAGGCCAACGGACATTGCCTCATTTGGCAACGAGGTTTTACGGATTGATTGCTGCGCTCAGGGAATATATTGATGATGTGCATCGGCAAAGTCTGCCTAGCGCATTAAGGTGATCGTATGGCGAGACTCCCTAGGCCGGTCATTATTGTATGTAACCTAATAGAGGGGTTCTCAGATTTGATGATATCAACTACGGTAAGGATAACATGTTTAATGCACGCTTATATTTGCTATTAGCTGACGAAGCAGGTACGCTGTTAGTCAGTTGGTCGCATAAACGTAATGCGTTCAACGAAGACCAACCCATTTAACTTAGGAAATGGGAGGTTCTAACAAATGAGTAAACAACCGTATAATGATTGCTACGGTCCGGAACTGCTCCCAGTCTGTTTGAATAGCGGCCAACCGAACTTGGTGCTTTGGACTCTTTTCAGACGTTGATTAGTACCAGAACAAATAAAAGGTCCTAGGAGCTTGTGGAGGCACTTGGTATCCATACGTTTGCTTTTGAGTGTTTTGGGAACTTTCAGTGGACAAACATTCGTCCTGAGCCGAATTTTCGGCTTCTTCATCGAGTCTTCGTTAGACTTACTTGAGACTTTCTCAAACACTTGAGGTGAAAGCTGACCGCGTTCGTCCTGTACAGACAGTCCGGAGAAGGTGGTTGCTAGTCTGAGTTTTGTTGATTGCAAGAGACGTTCGGATAGCGTTAAGCTATACCTGTTGTTTATGTGCGCCTACAGGGAGACGTGCTCATCCAGTATATTTGGGCTGAAACCGTTCAGGCTTGAAAAGACTCAGGACTATTTAGACAGCGGAACTCAGTACTGGTACAACTTTGGTAAAGTTGATCACTTTCAACTGTATTTAACGATATTGTAGTTTGGGGATCTCACATTTATAGTGACAGTCTGAATGCTCAGAAACTAGCTAGAATTCGTTAGTGGCCATAGCAACAGAACTGTGAAAACGCGGTCAAACGATCCAAGGCAGCTCAGTGGTTAAAACGCGAGCTTACGGACCCGAAGGTCTGTAGTTCGAATCCACCCTCAGCATCTCGACTGCTCCTGTCTAAGTTTGGGCAACTTCGTGCTTTCTCCGAGTGGCATGGCAGCTAGAGGGGCGAGATGGCCCAAGTGGTTAGAGCGCGAATTTACTGACCGGAAGGTCCGTGGTTGGAATCCGACCTCAGCCACTCGACTTCCCCCGTCTAGGCTTGGGCAACCTGGCAGTATCCCAACCCTCGTGCTTCCTTGGGATGGCATGGAAGCTAGGCACCGTAAGGGTGCTACAGCTGAACGCTTCTTCTTCATGGCAGCTATGCACTGAAATGGTGTTACGGCTGAACGATTATCCAATTTTTACCCGGCTTGTATCAGTTCACTTAGATTAATTGAGTGCTATCCACACCCTCACATGCCCTGCAAATATGAAGGCGCTAGAAGTTCCAACTTTTGTTAAACCCACTACACGGCCGCATATGACCCCAGAGATTGTAGATGAGGATCCATATATAGAATTAGTCGTACTTGTTTGTAGTCTGCACAGAAAACTTCGTGATGAGAATTCAATAGGAATGATATTACTAGTAGTACGGATTCGCTTAAGTTCACTATCGGGGATCATGACGAAACAGTCACTTATGAGCGCAGATCAGGAAAGTTCCTGCTTATCCGTCGAATTAGTAAGGGTTGAAAAAACTGATTGGCGATCGGAAAAATAATTACTCAGTGTTTTTGTATCAATATTCTGTAGGTTGTGAAGCATTGGCGCCAGTTTTCCAAACATCGCCCTTTTCGACCGAATACTGTAGGATTTAAACACTTGTACGTAGAGGCACTATGTCGCTATCCTCTTTTATTTTTATCCATTAATGTGTATTATCTCAAAAAACCACAAGACGCCTGGGAGCGGACTGGAACCGCCGGCCTACCCATTACCGACTGAACTACCGAGAACGATAGCTGTCTGTCACAGCTAACTCGCCACATCACCGTTACCTATTCGCGCTTTACAGGTCTATCATTTATTCAACAAAGCAGTGAAATGATAGAAATCGGACTGGAATATCAGAATTCTCCCTGTTCATAGATATGAGTGAGCGGACTGCAGTTGTCTACTCTCTGCAATAGCTCACGCATCTGTTGCACAAAGGATAGTCGAAATTTCATAAGAACCCCTCAAATGGAAAACACTTAGCTTAACTTCTTAACACATGGTTAAACTGTCGCTTCGAATTAGTAAATGATCAAAGGTGTCATGTGATTGGGGGACGTAGCCTATTCTATTGCGCAATGAAGCACAAAACCCGTTTTTACACTAGATTTGGAAAAGTTGCCAATCAAATCCCAACTGTCTACGAAGTGACTGTTCTTAGCTGCTTTTTACGAAATCTCTAGTTATCAATAATGCTTCCGTCCTGCGTCCCAGCCTCATTACCGGTCAGACTTAATCAAACACATTCGTGCCACTATGTTACACGCTTCTTAGCTTTTTTCGTCTACGCTATCAACGTTCATATTGGATTTCTTATACGGCGACATTCGTGCTATAACCTGTTAGGTGGAATTCCGTACCATAACCGCATTACCACTCACAATTGAGCCAAGAAGTCTAACCCGCACGCAATTCGCCGGATGATCGGGCCACTTGCCGGTCCAGCATGGAGGCAAGCTCTGATTGGCCGAAAGCATGGGTCCAACGGCCAATCACGATCCAGTATCCATCTTATGGCGGATCCAGAAGGTATCGTAATCTCCGAGATGTCTCCTGATACTCTTAAGGTACAACACGCTGTACTTGTGTTGTTGATCTGTTGTTATGAGTATAAAACACCTTTGGTGGCTTCTACGAAAACCAGTTTGCAAGGTTCAGACAAGGAACTGAGCTGAGTCATTAGCGTCATTAGATAACGGTTGTGACGCTGTTTCCTATAATCAACACAGCCGTCCCTTTACCCGTATGTAACCGCAGCAACCGCACGTACGCCACAAAAGAGCGAACGTTTTCGCCTGTCCGGACCTGACGATTCAAGCTCGTCAAGTGCGCGCTCCTGGAGTGTTGTTAATACGTTCGTTTCGCATGCCATACAACGACCAGCGATATATAAGAATGATGCCCAAATGTGCTGCTTTTCCCCTCGGTACAGATGAACTAGAGTAATTAAATCAGGACAGGACAAGGATTGCTCACACTTGCTTGATGTAGGTGCGAAAATTCAATGCACTTTATCGCAACAATTACTTCCGTGAGGAGGTTGGGGAAGTCAACCCTTGGTTTGTTTTCTGGTCTTCGTAGGGACCTTATTTTATATGTCGCACCTACGATATTCAGTTGCTGAATAAGTAACCTCACAGGTAGCATATCGTTCACCGCCTTTCTTTCCACAGATGCTCATTTTATTTAGTCTCGGGACCAGTACTTTCGCACTGCTGACTGCTACATATGTGTTCTTCCTCGCACCAATCAACAGTGCTCACTGGACGTTGCATTTGATATTCGTCCTCAGTCTAACTGGATTCTGTACCTTACACTATTGGTCTGTCACCAAGGATCCGGGATATATTCACCTCCCACCAAAACCAGACCGACAAGCTGCATTTGTTAGGTTGGTTGATGAAACTGTGAAGAAACTGGCCAATAATTCATCCATATCGCTGACTTCCACTCCTCTCAACCGTCTGTGCACTACCTGTTTGATACCGAAGCCCCTGAGATCGAAGCACTGTTCCATTTGCAATCGCTGCGTCGCGCGATTCGACCACCATTGTCCCTGGATTTACAACTGCGTGGGTGCAGATAATCACCTACATTTCATCATCTTCCTTTTGTTCAGCTTCGCATCATCAACACTCTTCGTTGTCCATTGCTTCCTCTACTGGATGGATGAACGCGTGTTTCAAACAAGCGGTGAGCACGGAACGGATAAGGGTGATTTTGGTAGATCCAGTGCACCACTTTGTTACTCAGTTAAGATTTCGGTTTCGGAAAACCTTCGGCTCTAAAAACACTCCGTAGGAACTCGTTTACTCCCTTGTAATCGTACGCTTGGAGAGCCCCCACACAGTTGTATTCGATTCCACTGGTTTGAAAATCTACAGTCGCTTAACTACTCGCAAGCTGCCATTCGCCGCTCGCTAAGGTAAATCAGCAGGTCAGTTGTTAGTGATGCGTTTGAGTGCGCATTATGCTGTCATAAATGAGTGAATTCATTTTCGGCCACATTACCGGTTCAGGTGTTTTGTTTATTAAGGGTTCTACTGAATACGCTTATCACGGCATGTCTTCAGCGCTTGTCTCACGATCATCATAATCTTTTTCCTATGGGCATCCAGTTTGCTGCCAGAACATCCACTCAATGTTCATTCAATGTTTCTATCCTCCAACTCGTGTCTTTGGATTGCCGAGGAGATGGCTATCCGCTCCTCAGATTGGTACGCATGGACCAACTTATTGTCCCCCAACAGTGCTTCGTTCCCGCTTTTTTCTAATGATTTCCCGCAGTTTTACCTAGACAGTTGTCGTTCCAATATGTTAACCTTCAACAAAAGCTTGACTGTTTCACCTGACGGTCAGTGCACCTTATGTGGTATCGTTCTTGCCTTGTATGAGGTTTCCCTCTTTGTAATTGTTATCCGTCAGAAATGTCTCAGTACGCTTCACGATCTCCAGGAGGACATCATGCAGTATTTTTGGAGTTTGCTCATCTGGGCAACTGATATGATTCCTGTGTATGAATATAGCAACACGTGTTCATCAACACTGCCCCCGAGCCTTTGTCCCGGCGTTTCCCGGTCGGACAGTCACGAGACCACTTAAGGTATATCCCCATGGGTTTCTCGGGAGCCGGCACTGTTCCTTTTGTGTGAAAAAAACTTTTGTGGAAGAAGCTCAACAAAATCGCACAACTTGTCTGTATGAAAAGAGCGCTCGAAAATTAGAATTTGGAAAAGAGCGAAACAACCTTCTCTGCAGTCGCAGCATTCTTTTTTACTTGAGTCTATTATCGAAATTCCAAAGTAAATCTGCTATGCGTCTTTCATCACCTCAGTTTAAGGACTCCAAATGGATAAGAGCTCTGTCCTATTATGATTATCTGCTGCTTGTTACTGAGCTGGGCAAGATGGCTCAGTGGCTAGAGCACGAATTTACTGACTGGAAGGTCCGTGGTTCGAACTCGACCTCTGCCTTTCGACTTCCCCTGTCTAGGCTTGGGCAACGTGGCAGTATCCCAGCACTCATGCTTCCTTCTGGTGGCATGGCAGTTGAGCACCGGAAGGGTGCTACAGCTGAACGGTTTTTTTATAACTGAGCTGATTGTCTGAATATATAGGTCTATCAAATCTGTATCACAGAGTGACGTCAGTTTGCAACTCAGTGCAATTGAAATGTGAGCTTACGGCGTGACATGTCTTTTTGGTTGGACACTTCGAAGCTGCTTTACATGGTGATACTGAAATTCCGTGCACAATTTGTCCGGAGACCAGCCATCCCTAATAACCGAACTTCATTGGTCAGAATACCAGCCAATCCGGATCGAACATCTGTGACTCGTCGCCTCTCGCCCCCTCACGGAGAGTCTAGCATGACCATGTGGAACGCCCTGTGATTACCCTATAAATACAGTTGTAATAATTTTCCTTTGTCTGTAGAGGTACCGTGCCTTGTGATATCCCATAGTGGGCGGAGCAGGAATCCAAGGGACTGATACAGAGTTGCACTACCGTTCAGCAAGACACAACACAATTTCTTGACTTGACTTGTACGAAGGAGATAGGTGATGTACTGTACAGACAACTGAATTAGTAAAGCGCATTTCTTCATATTGTTCTTCCTACGTGCCCTAGTAGGATTTCTGTAGAAAGCCCGTCGCATTCAGCTAGATGTTTCACTGTTGCTCGTTCTCTCTTCTACTGCATCCCATCATCCTTCTCCCCACTTCCGTTTCTCTGTTTCCTAGGTTGGACCCAAACTGTCCTGACATTGGCCACCTACAGCCCGTGGCTGTCCTGTTGTTTTGTGAACGCCACATGTTACAGTGTGTGGACAGCCTACCTCATTTTCACCCAGCTTCATCAGTTGATCTGGTTGAATTTGACAACTAATGAGTGCGTGAAGATGAATCGGTTAGCGGAATTTGCGCAAGGCGGGTCTTCTACACCCAATAACCCATATGACCAAGGTGTTTGGTGTAACACACTGGACTTACTTCGTCTCCCTGGCTACATGGGACCGAAACCTATTGACTGGCACCGCACACTGTCGTTAGACCATCTGACTCCTCATGAAGTTGTGGATCACCCTCACACTGACTAGCATCCATGTTATTATCGATTTCTGTGTTCAGGCGTTCACCTGTCACTTTCTATAGGGTAAATGGGATGCTTGCTTCTTTTTTATGGGTATTTTCCAAATATCTCAGGGCATTTTGTTACTTTTCTTGGATTATTTTGGTGATTTTTTTACGGGGTTTCAGTACATATAACTCTCTAATCTGGCTGTTCTCCATTGTGTGTGTACTGAGATCTTTGGAGCTGACTGGCATCCACGAGTACCGAGATTATCCCTTAATGAATGCATCATTGTACTGCTACATTGTGGAGGTTTATCTCATCTATAAAACATTTCTGATCAACCGGTCGCCGGCAGACAATGGAGTTCGTGCACTGCCACTCCCTCATCTGGAGAGGCTTCTCAACCGTCATTTTGCTCAGCCTCATTGGTTTCCCCATCTAGAGCAGTTGTCGTCGGGTTCTGCACTCATCCGGAGTCGTCTTTTTATTTGACTTGTTTAGGATTTTAACTTAATATAACTTCAGGCTTCGTTCTTTAACCAGTTTGTCAAATGGTCGATATCCTGAGTCTTGAAATCTGATCGAGTGGACGGTGAATAGCCTACTAATGTAGTCTGCGAATTTTCGTGACAGGATTTCTCTCATGAGCTTGCGGAAAGCTTTTCGACAGCTCACTTCTGGTTTCGAGCATTTCAGAGCTCATCCGGCAGGTGCAGTCCCCGAGTTTCCCTCAAACTCATGTCCTAATTTAACGTCAAGTTTGAGAACTACACTAGTTTGGAAATGAACTTGATGCGTACGAGAGTTTCAATTGAATCTCCCCCTCATTTCGTCAAGAAAATACACTGCTGTGATATTTCCAATATCGTACCAATTGAAACGCCGAGTGCCCTTAATACAGTACATTCAGTTTCACAAGCAGAACAATCGCACTACCATACATCACGAACATTTCGGAGATGACCGCAGGGATGCTCATCATCATCATCATCATCGACAGCATGACATCAGTGTTCAACACCGATGCTTCACTGCCGTACAACTATGATTCATTTGAAAGCCTTGTTGTAAAGAAGATAATAAAGATGTGCTAGCTTACCACAATCATTCCGAGGTTCCTACACCTCCAGACACTCATTTTGGCAATCTGGATAGAAACTGACAATAAGAATGCCACTTACTCCGGTTGGCAGCCATATCCTGTAATGTCTCCAACCGGGATCTGTGAGGATCACGCGCTCCCCATCCTAAAAGGCGAGTAGCACCGACAGCATCCAAACGTTTCGTGATCTCCTTCATACTCCTCTGCCAAGTCAAGGGTTGGCCACCTCTCTGTTTACGCCACTGTGAATCCGGCATGGAAAACAGCACTCTCTTCGGCAAACGATGGCTCGGCATACGTAACACGTCCCAACCGAAGGCAGCTTCTGGTGCTGAACACATTCTTCAATGTAAGTACTCGTTGCACAAACGAAAACGCGCCTTCCAGCTGTCTCATTACGGATTCGCTGACACCAACCCACACGATCTATGGTTCTTACCCTACCGGACAATGTTGGTAATACTCCTAATGCACTACTCATAAGGTTTCTTAAAAAAATCCTTCAACAGTTCACGACCGGTTTCGCCCTTCATGGGTCTCATCAGGTAGGCGCAGTCCCCGAGTTTCCGTCAACCTTATGTTCTACTTGAACCCGAATTGGACTGCTTTCGAGAAATACACGGATTCGCAAATCAATTTGGTTTTCCCTAGAGACTCAACTGAATCTCACGTCCAGCGTGATGATTAGACGACATTTTGTTTCTAACGGTACCAGCTGTTCATCAACTTTTAAGCTGCAGTTGAAGGCGAGGAGCTTGCGCATCTCGTAGCTGATTAACCTTTGCTTGACTTCGGGCTACCGACACATTTTATCGACGCTGTGCTGTAAATGCGCTGCTTTATCTGTGGAAAAGATATTTTCCATATCTTAGTTTCATCAACCAATGGCAGAGTGGATCAAGGGAGATTCTCATGAGGTCATTGAGGAAAATGAGAAAGTGCAAATGAAGCAGCACAATGTCTTGAAGGATTTCTTTATTTTATTTGTTGTTTTAGTAGATATGCGACTTTGTTTGTATATCCTTTTTTGTATCTCTTCTCGGTTTTCAAGTGAGAGGGCATACATCATTTTCATGTGTTGTCAGCAAATTTGATGAGAGATCATCAGTAGCTGTGTCCTACACACACGCAACCAAAACTTTCTTTTTAGTGCGGATGCCAGCTGCTTCGTTTACTGTATCAGATACATTAGTCTTGATGACAAATTCCAAACCTCGATGCATATGAAGAGGAGCGGCGAAAAATCCTGATGAAGAAATCACGATCGGTTTAGTTTTTTACATTTCCGGTTCATTCAACTTCATATTCCGTCCGGAATAACCACCATGCTTATTCAACTGAGCAGCGACTGGTCAACGTGCCCTTTGACTTTGTATCTATGCCACTTAGGTGCCACAGCCGTCCATAATGGATTTTCAGTACCAGGGAGATTTTCGGCAATTGATAGAAGACGAAGATACCCTCCTTTTCTCTCCAGCATATTGGATTGGTGTTGAAATAATGTAGGAAGCAAACCGCAAACAAATTTGGTTTTTAGGTTTTGCGCGATAGGTATTTTGTCCATAGCCACACCACTCCCGTTTGAACGGGGTTCAAATCCCGGCACGGCCATTGGATATGCACTGCTGATGAGCTCTGACAAGAGCGGAACTCCAGTCTAGTACTTCCCGCTGTTGTGGACTCACCGGAATAATTACGCCAGAAGGACGACCGTTTAAAGGAGAGTGATTTGGCAATGGACAAAATGTAGTTTTGCTAGAGGCTCACCTGGGATCCAGTTGAACCTCTCGTTTGTGATGTTTCCAGGCAACTGAATGTGTTGCACCAAGCCGCCTCATGTTTCAGTTGTTACGATATTCGAGATATCGCGATACATGCATATACGTAGTGTTGAAAATTCTTCGACAGCCCACGACCGGTTGCACCCATCTTGAGGCTCATCAGCTAGGTGCACTCTCCGAGTTTCCGTCAACCTTATGTTCTACTTGAAACAAACTTGCATGGAATTAGCGAAGTACACTCATTTGCAAACAATTTTGGTTTTGTGAGAAACTCGCCTGGAACCCAGCTGAATCTCTCGTTTGTGACGTTGGTAATAGTCAGCGGCACGTATTCTTTACCCATACTGGCTGCATGCGAAACCCTTCAAGACATTGTGTTGCTTCATTTGCACTTTCTCATTTTCCTCAATGACCTCATGAGAACCTCCCTTGATCCACTCTGCCATTGGCTGATGACACTAAGATATGGAAAATAATATCTTTTCCACAGATAGAGCAGCGCATTTACGGCGCAGCGTTGATAAAATGTGTCGGTAGCCCGAAGTCATACAAATGCTAATCAGCTACGAGGAGCGCAAGCTCTTCACCTTCAAATGCGGCCTAAAAGTTGATGATCAACTGGTAGCGTTAAAAACAAATGGCGTCTAATCATCATGCTGAACATCACTTTAAAGACCACTTCAGTTGATCCGTCCGACCAGTTTCGGAAAACAACCTGTGACAGAACCTATCGAGGATCAGAGTGGAGCGACCATTGGGAACAAAAAACGCCTCGACCGTTTGGTCGAATACTTCGGACAACGATTATCATGGACAGCATCTGCTACACATCTGGAGCTGACGGCTGATTTAGATCCCTGGACGGTGAACTTGGAACCCCTCTGCGGCCTCGGAGATTTACGGTTGCACATGTTCTCTCAAGCGCCACCGAGCTTTTGGTCCCATCCTCATTGTTCACGGTCCTCAGTCAGTGACTGTTGAGATTCCCGATACGGAACTTTGAGTGACGCGTAGGTTCGACAATCCCGAATATCATAATGAAGAATTGGGTTCGTAATTCTACGGTACTATTTACAAAAGGGTTAGCAAATGTGTACAACAAACCTCAATTGTTCACGTTCGTAGCGTCAACAAGTTCACAGGTCTGTCACTGAACGGCACAGTGCAGTGTCAACGTCCGCACACCAAACAACGGGGAGCGGAATGACCGCTCAGTAGCGTGTTTGCGGTCGTTCGTTCCGTACGCGGAACTCATGAGAAAACAAGTCAAGGTAGGCTCAGCAAACGGGACATGAAGGTGCATGGGTAAGTAGGTCAGCAGCGCACATTCACACACAGACACACATGTCAATACACAAGTGTCAGACAGGACGGCCTCTGCGGCAAGGTGATTGGCGGGGTCGTGCAAAACAACTGGAGATCAAAAGTACGTAGGCAGAGTAAGCAAATGAATGGGGGAATTATCATAACGTCAAGTTCAACGTCAAGATTCAACAGTGACTCTCTGATCTGTTCACCCGCATCTGGGAAAAGGAGACTCCCGGATAACCGGAAAGAGTTGGTGATGGTCGCCATTTCCAAAAAGGGGACTTTTGTAAATGCTGTAACCAGATGGAGTCAGGTTGACCCCGGTCGTTTCGAGACTGTTGGCTTCACCTGTAATTCGTCGCCTTAAGGGGGCTAGTGAAACACTAAGTTCGGAGAGCAAGCCGGATCCCGGCCTGGTAGGGATTGCATTCACCATACCTTCAGTTGCTAGAACAACGCCATACGTATAAACCATCCACCGTTTCAGTATTCTTGGATTTCCAAGGTTCATTCGACTCACACGACCGGTCTGTTCTCCTTGGCACGCTTGCTTATCAAAAAATGCCCCGGAAGTGTGAGCATAATTAGGCCTCTGTACTCATGAGGAGTATACGGAGAGCGCTCTATAAGCTTCCGTACGGAAAGCGGTGTCCCTCAGGGGTACTCAGTCTCTCCGTTCTTATTTAATTACCTGATCGCTGAAACAATGAGACGAACGCTGGAAGATATGCAGAATCCCGGTGTCCAAATAGCTACCGATGAAAACTTCATCGATTGTGAGTATACAAACGATATCATTACCGTCTTCGAAGGTGGGAAAGCGCAGGTATTTTTGGATGAACTGACCAAAGTCATCACGTCTTTTGGCATGCGCCCTTCACCCACAAAGTGTAAAGTCATGTCTGTGAATATGCAGTCACTTAACACGCCATGGAAAAGCACTCGGAGTTGTGGAGCGTTCCACGCATATTGGAAATCACATGAGTTCTGATTGTAGTGTGACATGAGGTCGATGCACGAATATGCTAGGCTCAGGTCGCTTTTGCTAACTGGAGGCACCTATGGCGTCAAAGTGGTGTATCCCTGACGTGTGCATCGGACCACGGTACTGGTTGTTTTGTTGTATGGTTGTGAAACTTAGCCTTTCTTAAGCATCAGAATTGTGGTAACCGTTGTCTGATAACCGTAGCTCGTCTGGGTTGATGTTGACTAATCCGTAACGAGGCAATTCGAAAGGGGGTGTTCGATTATGCAGCGGTGATTTCCATCAAAGAATGTGTCCAGCACCAGAAGCGACTTTGGTCATGTATTGCTTATGCCAAACCATCGTTCGCCGAAGAGAATTTTGTTTTCCGTGCCTAGTTAGGAATAGCGGAAACAGAAAGGTAGCCAACCTTTGAGCTGGTTGAGGGATATGAAAAAATTATGGAACGTTT